ATATTTGTTTTAGGACTTGGGTGAGGATACTGTTCATGATCCCCTGTGATGTCAACTGCAATGGCTCAGATATCATGGACCAGGAAAGCTAGTAACAACACAAAAAGCAATAATAAGTGTGTGCTCTTAGAAGAAATGCAGGATTTCCCAGTATTCGCTCTGGTTGTTCTGCTTTTGTGTCCTTTGGAAAACGTGAAGTATTACAAAAAGCCTGAACAAGTTAAGTAAATTCTCAACATCTTCAAAACAAAACTATTCTGCCAACATATTATCAAGGCTTCCAGGACATTTTCTCATCAGTTCCAAAATATATGTGCTAGTAGCCAAGATTTGCAAGGGAGATTTTTTTTTTCAGTCTAAACAACAAAGTTTAATTTGAATTTAGAGAAGAAAAGTATAAATTGCTTAGATTTGGCAGTTAACCTAGGTCAAAGTAGACAATACTTTAAAAATCTTCTGAAAATGCTTGTTTCAGGAGGAGAGGGGACAGATGGCAGCTGCCCTTTGAGCAGGTTCTGATAAGGGGGTTTGTGCTCCAGCTACCTTTGTACCATGAGAACACTGGACCATCAAATACTATTAAGGGAAGACAGGCTTTTTAAACAAAATACATGCATTGAAAGACTTACTTGGTATGACCTGTTCTAGTTCTGACAAGCTGTTTTCTTACTGTTAGCATCTCTGATGTGGCCTGAAAGATGTGTGGTTCTCTTGCAGTTCAGTCATGATCTTTGTTATAGAAAATCAGCAAAATCTGAAGTAGTTTAGCTAGGTGAAGCCAGCAAAAGCATTCTGCCTGTGAATTATTCCAGAGTAAGATAACTACTATAATCCAGCATCCCCCCTATGTTTTTAAAATGCTTTATTCATGTTGAAATGCTTTGTTTTAAGCATTCAGCTTGATCTATCTTGTTTACCTGTCTTAAAAATTTTAATCTGTGAGAACCTTTCTTTCTTTTGATGGGTATCTGAGTTGTTTTGGGCAGTAAGGACTTGACTGCATGTAGTGTGTAGGTTAAGAACAAGAACATGAGATGGCAGTGGCCCCAGGCACATCCCATGTTGTCAGCCTGTAGTCAGATGTACTCTGAGCTCCCATGTTCAGCAGCTGCCCCACCTCTGCAGACAGGTGCTGGCTAAAGATGCCCGTGGAGGAGACAGCTGGTGTCCCCCACTGCAGACTGCACCAGCAGTGAGATGGGAAGAACATGAGCTGAAATTTCTCCTCTCTCAAGTTTTAAATTTAGCAAATTGCAGCATTCCCAGGTCACTGCTTCTAAGCACTATATTAATATGATCATTACCAGCTTCCTGCACTACTTAGTTGAAACCACATATTTAAACTTCAAAACACTTATGTCCAGAAGTAAGGCCAATTCGATGCACCCCTGCCCATTCCCCCATCACATACCCCAGGGGTTTTGTTTTTATGTTTGACAGTATTACACTGCAGCATCTGAATTGTTGTTTCCCCATGTGCTCCTTATAATGGAGTTAGAACTTGACTGCTTCATTGCTAATGCTATAATTATCAGGAACTTTTCTTTCTGTGATAAAGGACTTTGAGAAACAGACAATGAGTCAGCCTGAGCTTCATATTTCTCATAACCAGGTCAGTATTTGTTATGCAGTAATAATACAGCTATCTGACTATTTATCTGGCTATTTGTCTGATTGACTAAGAGTATGAAGTGCTGTGAAATGTTTCAGAAAGAAAACGAAGTTTTCCAGATAAACCTTCACAGTGTCTTGTTGGAGGGGAAACTTCCAAACACTTTTGCTATGTTTTCTATGTGAACTCATTGAAACTCATGCAGTAAGCTGAGTTCTCAGCTGGGTTGTGTTGTTAGAGAGAAACATCGCTCACAAAAAGCATTATTAACTAACATGAGCGAGAAGTAGCATCCACTATTTCTGTAAGCCCTGAGTTGCACTGCTCTTCCCTATTTGTAAGGTAAGACAGCACCTACCCTTCAGACTGCTGGAACAGTGTGAAAATTGAATTTATTTAGTGCTTACAGAGTGCTCACATGTTAGAGAGCTGGCCACCACAGGAAACCCCATGAAGAAATGATTTTCTGTCCCTCCAAAATAGCTCGCTGCAAATAAAACCTGAAGCCAAACAGTGAACAGCGAATGACAACCAAAATATTTACTCATTAATTTAGCTTCTCCATCCTAATCACAAAACAAGCCAAGGAGTCCATGGGAGAAGTTTTCTGGGTAGCCTGTGTAATTTATAAATGTATGGAAGGCTGAACTAGTGTGGTGCAGTCAAACTTATTTCTGCTGTTCTATGAGCATTGAACGATTTTACTTTGTATCATTACTGGAATCCTAGAAATCTCAAGTTGGAAGGGACCCATAAGATTCATTAAATCTAACTCGCTGCTCCTCACAGAACTCTCTAAAATTAAACCATATGACCAAGAGCACTGTCCAGGTATTCCTTGAGCTCTGACAGGTTTGGTGTCCTGACCACTTCCCTGGAGAGCCTGTTGCAATGACGAGCCACCCTTCCAGGGAAGAATCTTTTCCTGTTCTCCACTCTGAACTTCAGTAATGCTGTCTTAATGTTAATCACTAAACTGGATGGTATGTTAATGAAACCAGAAGGTTTTTCAAGTCAATCTTATTGCATCCACTAAGCTTTTCCAAGCAACAACAGCAAAACCAGCCAATGCTGTGTTATCTGTCATTCCTTTAACAGGAAATTATAAAATCACTGCCTGCCAACTGTCAGGGCTTCAAAGGCACCAGTGTGCAAAATGAAGGAGTGCTCTTCTTCAAGATGGGAATCCTTTCTGTTATCTCATTGTTTGACATCTCTGAAGGGATATGGCCTTGAGGAGAGGAGGCAGTCTCTTGAGCCTGTCTAGTCAGTCACCACCAGATGGCTTATGTAATTAGAAACTCCTCTTGGAAGAACATGGGCTGGGATTTGACGAAAGACATTTCATAGTTTGCCCCACTTAGCAAGGGAAGTTGAATAACCCAGAACCATGAATATTTCCAGAGGAAGCAGCTGTGAAATTTTTCATTCGGTTATGCAGCTCCTCAGTTTGTGTTCACTTGATCTCTTGCATAAAACTGAGAACCTCACAGATTGCTGAGAGGAAAAGGGAGTGAAGTGGATACTTTACCCATGAAGCACTTGTTTTTCTGTTTTGTGTTAAATGAAGGAGAAAATCTAATGCACTGTATGAGGATGGCAGCACCATACTACTGAAGTTAGATAATTCATTTGCTAAGTAGTACCAGCTTTTGTATTTCTGGAAATAGAAGCCTACTGAAGATTGCATGGAAACAAATCCAAAAAGAAGCTGAATGGGGAGTCCACTACTCTGACATTTTAGTAGTACTGCAGTAGTATCATTCCATTAGGCATTGACTTTTTCCTTACATTATTTTTGCTTCTCATGAAACCAGTGAAACACTGTCTGAGTCAGATAAGAATTCGGTCTATCATTTTCTAGAAGTGTGTGCCCTGATTTGGACCATGATTTTGGAGCTAAAAGAGACTTGTCTTTCAGAGTATCACAGAAAGCAGTTCAAAGATCAAGAATCTGAATGCTGTCAGGTGCCTAATTAGAATAATAAAAATGTCTGTGAAGCACTAATATTGTGCTTGGGTCAGAACGTGAAAGGCAGAGAGTCATTTCCTGGAGATGCTTATAACCCATGTTTATAGTTCAGGAAGCTACTTCCACTTGTGCTTGTTCCAGCTGAGAATGTTATCCCTGGGACTTGTAAACGTGTATTTAAAGCAGAACTCTTATTTTAAGTAATTTGGGTAATGTACAAAAGGAAACAGAGCCTGGGCTTTGCAAATTGCTGTAAATATTGAAAATAGGTCAAATAAATCATAAGTCTTGTTGCTAAGAGATTCTCAACTACATCTCTAGAATGAAGTTAATTTATGGATTCAGATATCTGAAATTTCAGTGTTTGTATTGTAGCTGCAGACCAGTATTGTAGTTCCAGTGATGATGTAGTCAACAGTAGGGCCTAGAAAGGTATCCAACACAGTCTAAATTAAACACCTGCATTTGGTCTGCTGAACAGTTTTCTACATCCTTTGGCTACAGTGGTAGCAGTGACATGTAGATCACATAACAATCACTTGCTGTGTAGGCACCTAAAAATGTACATCAGATTCTGGAGTTGAATCCCACTCCTAAAGTTTAGTGAGAGGAACTTGCCCACAGTGGCAGAGCATTAAACTGTTCCCCGATAATCTGGAGATGAGAATATGCTATCCTGGGGCCAGGCACTTATTTTATGGGGCAATTAAATATTGTCCATTCAGCAGAAGTATTTCTGTTTTAATTGAGTCACCAGTCAAGCAGGATAGAGCTGCTGTAACCACTGGCATTTGGATTTTTAACAGTATTCATAGTCAGTGTTTAGCATGAGGACAGGATCATCCCTCTGCTTTATCTATGCCACCATTGTCTCACTAAAGAAGGTTGGTATCCTTACCAACATGATTCATCTTGTGGACCAGAGCAGGAGATCAGGGCAGTGAGTGTCACCAGGATATTAAGTTTCTCACCAGGACATTAAGTTTCTCTCCTGCATCTGTGTGTGGCGTGGCTTGGTCACTGTCCCCTGACACAGTTCTCTTTTTATGGGATAGGTATCTGGAAAAACTGCCTCGTGAAACCTGCATTCTGGATTATTTGAAAGCTGTCTTTTAATCAGCAGAGTGAAGAACTAATGGTCTGAGTCATCCAAGTATTTGGGCTGATCCCCTGACTCTAATGTGTTTAGTCGTTCAGTATTTTCTCATGATCTCATGATCTATCCCTCAGAGCAAGGTTCTGATGGTTGTCTTCTTCCCACTGCTGGTCTGACTGAGGTGGAGTAAGGAAGTGCTACACAGTGCTACAGTGGGAAATGTTTAGTTTTCTACAATACTTCATCACAATGGTATTTCTTAGTAATCCTCTTTTTCTCCCCAAATCTATCATCTCATGTTCTTCTTTATTTTCTTACAGGAGGAGCTGGGCATTGCCTGTGAGTTGCTGGAATCAGATTTCCTCAAGTGCAGTGTGGGATTTCCTTTCATGAGATCAAATTCTAGGGTAATGTTGTGATATTTGCAATTTGCAGAGTAATAGTTCGTTCACTTCTGTCTCCAAGGAGTGACTGGAAATAAACTGCTCTATTAAATGTCTGTGACTGATAGTTTCTTTGGCTTTCTAACCCAGACATCCAAGCCTTTCACAGTTACAGATGGTAGCTGTCCTCTTTCCCAACATACAGAGCCAGTGACAGTGCCCCGTGTAGTGCAATAAAATACCTTTGAAAAATTATGCAAGAGTTTCAGCTGCGAAAAACTTGCATATTTCCTTTGTAGAAAATTAGAAAAGGACTCTCTGTCTTATTTATGTTGCCTGACTGTTTTTATTTTTGTCTTCTTTCACATTAAAGTGCAACTGAATTTATACAAATTACAATGAAAATGTACTAATGGCTTTTTCGTATTATGGTCTTCTGGTAGATTTTTTAAAGAGGATTTTGTTTGGTAATTTAAGATGCACTCTCTCGCGATGTTTAAAAATCCAGCTGGTTTCTTTCTGTCACTAAACTGAGCTGGATAAATGACCAACTCAGAAAGGTGAGAAAATAGGGAATAACTTTAGGATGACCCAAACAAAAAGTGTCTGAAATTTTTCAGAAAGTTTCGATTTCATGAGCTAATCCTTTCCATTTTAATTCATATATCCTTTGACCCAGCAGATAAGTTTTTGTTTTCTTTGTCTTATTGACTGTTTCATGCTCTTTTGAAACATCTAAAAATATTTTTAACAGAATAGAAAAAATAAATGCAATAGCAAAATATTATCTAGAATGTAAGACTGTAAGCCACTGAAATTAATATGAATTTGGATACTGTTTCACTTGGCCAAAACCATTTTGGAGTTAGGCAGAAAAGTTGTTACATGGAGAAGTTATTTATCAAAGTAAGTTCTCATTTCAGAATTAGCACGTGATTTCACCCATTATGATGGGTGTCCTGAATGCTGCTTTAGCTTGTGCCACTTGCTCCAAATCTCTGCAGGCCTGTGGTGGGAGTTTTATTCCCCTAAAAGATGTCTTCAACAGCAAACATTTAAGATTGGTAGTTTCAGGTAGCGATACCATTGTACGAGAAAACTCTTTCCCTGGCAATGATCTCCTCAAGAAATATCTTTGAATGAGAATTCTAGTAAAGGCCTTTTCTCAATGAAAGGAAAAACCAAACTTTAGTATTTGATGAGAGGCAAAATAACTAGGATTTAAAAGTTAATCTGCAGTAGAGGAAACTTTCTTACATGTATCAAAATATGCTACTTTTGTACAACTAGACCAGTAAAATATATGTTAAGTTTCAGAATAAATACATCTTGAAACAATATTCGGTATTTCTAACTACTACTTTTTCTTTGCACAGTATGAGTTCAGCGTGATCTTTGACACAAGCCACTTGTCTGGGCAGGAAGAAATGCTTACCTTCCTTGTCACTGCCCAAAGGTAAGGGGACCTTTGTATGTCTGGATGACTTGGATGTTCTTTATTGCATGAAGTGTGTATTATGTATGCTTGACAGTTGGGTCATATTAGTTGTAGGCATGCATAGATATAGTAAATTAGGTTAAATTACTCAGGCTAAATGCAGGGGGAGCATGTGTTGAAGCTTCCTGAAAAATGAGATAGGATCACTCATAGGTTTTCTTTGCCAGGCAATTGCATATCTGAAGAAGCAATCTATATTCTCTCATTTGAAAGCCCCTTGTGTTTCAGTGGCCATCTCTTTGGGCCCTGCATCAGTTGATGATCAGCACCACACAGAACCATTTGTTCTAACATTTGAATGAAATAAGCATGCTTGGATGCAAGCCAAAAAAGATAAATGCTTTAATCAGATGGCCAGGAATCTCACTGACAGGTTCCAAAGTTGCTTGTCTATTTTTTCCCTCTCTGGGTCTTCGGTGAGCTATGACAGATTGTGGAAAATAGGTGAATAGGGTATTTCCCCAAGGGCACTTGAAGCAGGCATTGAAGTAGGATGACTCCAAGTTTGCATCATAGGCATTTTATCTCAGGCATAGTCCTCCCCTACAGTAACAGCTGTAGGTGGGAACAGATCCTGCAGCATGTAGGATTGGTATGAAACACTGAAAGTAAGACCTTGCATCACTATGTCTTGCACATTAGGGAAGTTTTATTCTCCCTGAGGAGAAATGCATCCTGTGTTTAGATGACCCTGTGATGCATCTCAGTCAGACAGATACATCAGTATGTGCTAGGTGAATTCCAGCTGGTGCAAAGATGGGTTAGCAGTGCTTTAAATATGCCCAGCCGTTGTTTTCCAGCTATTTTCCCTGCCTTTGATAGCACAGGACTTTCCTATGTAACCTCACTCCTCATATTTCTGTACTGTGCCAGTGAGAAGGGTTAGTCAGTGCCTTTAGATGGAGCAAAGAAAGAAACAGTAATTTTTCTACATGCTCAGAGGTGTTAAGAGAAAGTTTCTTATTGCAGAAGGTTGAGCAGGGTGACAGTTATGTTTGGAAGGATTCAGCTGAACCTCCAAAGACAGCAGTGCAGGCCTCAGTGCTGATTACCCTCATTTTCTCTGTGACTTTGTGCAAATATCTCAATTCCCTTGCCGTCCAGTAAGTGTAACAAAATCTTTCTACCACAAGAGTTGCAGGAAGCCCTGAGGTAAAATCAGTGATAAAGAAATGGAGAGGAAATGCCTGTGCTGTGGCCAGACTGCAGTGAGTGAGGATATTGTTTCCACATAAAACTGGAGCTAGTCTGACAGAAATGGCTGGACACAGAGAAGCCATGTCACTCTGTTGTGGGAAAGCAAGTATTTCAAGTATTGCCATCCAAGTGGCCATTTAAGCCTGTGCCTTGAAGCTGCAAATTTGGCAGCAGCATCTGTAACAAGAGACTGGTTCAGTAGTGGGACAGATCAACTGGAGAAAGAACTTAGCATTGTATTACATTGCTTTTACACTATTTGTTAAAAAAAAAACAAAACAAAACAACAACAAAACAAAACCTCAAATCCTCTTTGCTTCCAGGTGAGAACTGTTTTTCTAGAGCTAGATTGACTGAGTTGTATTCTTCTTTTCTAACATTACCTTTACTCCATTAGAAACAGATCAAAACATATCCATGAACCCTATGTAGAATTCTACTTGTTATTCTGTTTGCCACCATGGTATATTAGTATTTCTATTTAATGAGAAATGTCTCCATTTTGGACTCTTCTGTAAGTCTATTCAAAGGAGGAGCTTTTATTAACTGATTTTTTTTTTCCCCAGGACTGAAAGTTTGTGGGTTTTGCTGTCTGGGCCATAATTTTCTTAGCAGACTTGGCCTGTGTGTTAGTTGCAGAAAGCTGATCTGTATCTATGCATGGATGTAGCCAGGAGGCTCTGTTTTTGTAATCTGAGCAATTCATAATCATGGTATCAGCTGGGATGTTACTGCCCTCAGTGATACTGTTCTCAAATAAAGATGATCCTATCTTTTGTTTTGCCAGTTTGATTTGTGAGTAAATCCAATGAACTGCAAGGCAAAAGTGATTCCAGAGTCATAGCTGAAGAAATGGGAAATATATGTAACCTGTCTTTTCAGATTGTTCTTCACCCACCAAGCAGACTCACCATCAGAATTAGAATAGTTCAGGTTTGCATGTTAGACATGCATTTCAGGAACCTTTCCCAGACTTCATATGTAAGTGTTCACAGTGAAACAAAGTGACTCATGAGAGATAATTGCTCACTTTTTTTGTTCTTTCTGCTTTTGACCAGCTGAGGCAACAGCCTTTGAAAATGTAAAGTAGAAGTGCTTTCATTTTGGCAGCGAAGTCCAGGAAGAGAGGGATGGAACTGCTGAGAGGTTATGGCTGGTTCAGTACAAGGGTCTCACCCAAAAAGCTGCTAGCAGTGGCCCCAAATTCATTCTGTAGTACAGTGCAGGTGCACTGAAAGCATTATTTCATTTACTGAGTCAAGACCCTCTCTGGGGGACCCTCACAAACTGACATGCAGTCAGACTGGGAGAAAATGAACACTTGCATTAATGTGTGAATGTCCTTGTTTCTCTCCACTGTATGATGGCTGCTGTAGCTTCCCTCAGGCATTTCAATTCACACCTTCTTCCAACATACTTTTTTTTGTTGTGAGCCTGATGTGTCACAACCACAGAAGAGAAGCCACAAAACACATGCTTTATGTGTGTACTCTCTCCAAGATTGGGTGAACAAATGTAACTCTTAAGACTTCTTAAGGAACTGACATCATTCAGATAGAGAGGCTCAGAGTACAAGGCAGAGAGGGGTAGCTGTGAAACTGTGTGATATATTGCAAAAGCTGTCAATTTGCAGAATGTTTATTTTTCCTTTCTGGCATAGTGGAAACCTAGAACGCACTGAATCTCTGCATGATAATATTTTAACCCTGTCGATACCTCTGATGCATGAAGTGGCTTCGTCCATCAATGGGTAAGTGTCAGTCACCAAAACAAACCCACTGCCACCGCTAATAACAACAACAACAATATCTGGGTGTCTTTCAGTGAAAAAATGAATTCTTCTCTTTGTTTACATGTAGCCAGCCTGTTGCTTTTCCTCGTTTCTCAGATTCTGAACATACAGAAAACCTCATTCAATATCTGGAAATTTTATTCATTCCAACACTGTACATCTTTCGCACTCATTTCTAATTAATGCTAATTAGTTACCATCACATTTATAGTAGGTATTTTAGTGTCATGTTTGACTTCAAGTGATTCTGTATATCTGATGGACCTTAAAATAAAATAAATAAAGAACAAGTAAACCAAATCTTGTTCCTTAGGGCATGTCTTGAAGGAAATGGCAAAGGTTAGGGTCAAATGTTCTGGGATTTCAAGGAGCTTGGTGAAGGCTGTTTGCCTTTCTGTTTAATATCACAAACAAATTTGCTTTTGCTTCTGTTCATTTTCCCACTCCCTGTACTCCCTAGTCTGCAAGGCTGTGAACTGGGGAGCATCACTCACCCTTTGACTGAAATACATGTACAAACAGCTGTTGTGTCCTTTCCCCGAGGCTGCACATGGACGAGTTCCTGCCTTTGTAGTTCCCTTCCACTTGGCATCTAGCATAATCAGTACCTGAGCTGGCACTGGGGGACCTGGTCACTGAAGGTGAATTAGCATTCATGTAGGCCAAGAAAGCTGATATTAATTCCTAGATAAACTGGGGAAGCAAAACCTCATCAGCAATGTCCCCAGGAGGTCAGTGTCTGTTTTAGCCACCATCTATGAGACCCCCCAGGCTGTAGGTATTGTCTAAATATACCAGTGCTGGTTGGCACCAGTAGAAAGCAAATATTTCCTTGATCACTATGCTACATGTATAGGGAAAAAGCTAACTTTCACTGACATGGGATTTGACTGAAAAGGTGGGTAAACTCAGATTCATGGCCTAGACTGGGTTTTGTCACATGAAGTTGATTTCCATCTTGTTGCATGGAAATAAAATTCTTTTCAAAATCGATGAAAGGTATGCTTGAGCCTGCTCAGAGAAATGAGAAGCACTGTCTAACCTCACAAGATGGCAAAGGACAAAAAGCAAGGACAAAAATCTCCTCTATACTGAGAGTACAGTCTCAGCAGAATCTTCTGAAATTTTTGAATGTTTTCATTGTTACAGATTCTTCAGAAATTTAACTCTGTTTCCCTTGCTTCTTGATGCTTTGATATAGGTGGATTTTTGTTCAGATTTACAGATATGAATGCTTTCATTTGTATTGTTAGATCTCTGATTGTTACCTACAGAATACTTCATACCAAAAAATAATATAAATTGGGCTCTTTTCTTTGTCTTCAGAATGTACTTTTAAAAAGCACAAGGTCTCTGAATTTATAAGCCCCACCCAAATGACTATGTGGATTATTTTTTCTTTCTCATAGACAAGGTTTAGTTAATTCAAGTTCACAGAAAAGTCCAATTGCCAGAGAAAAGTTGAGTTTATTGGAGGGCACTACATCCCCAGGCATGGTAATATTAGCAATACTCCTTTTTTTGGAAATGTCTTTTTGAAGCTTATTCATCCTGTATGAATCTAGGGGAGCAAACTTCATTCCTGGTCATAAATAGCCCAGAAGGGCTTGTGCCACGTTTGGGAGAAGCCTTCTAGCACAACGCTGTCAATGGGAGGAGTAAATATATCTCTCACTGTTTCCCCTAGCAACCTCTGGCATAGGAGGCAGACAGGAAAAAAGGAAATGTACCTAAACAGGCTTAAAATCCTGTCTCAAAAAGCTCTGACTCCAAAGGACAACCTGAGAAGGAAGCAGAGTTTTAGTCAGTGATGAGGACCAAGGTTTGTTTGAAATTACACCAGGACCATTTCCAGACAGTGGAACAGCCTGAGATTAGAAGGATGCACAAAGAAAGCTTAAAGCACTCCTAGTCCTCTTCTGCAGGATTTCCAGGTACTGTGTTGTGCTTCCAAGTAATTTCTGATAAAATCCTACTGCGTTTTACTGTGTGATCAGATGATAAGAGTGGTTAAGGTAACTTGGCCTGTTCCACTGTAGTTGAAAGCAGGTTATACCCGCTCTATTCTATCCTTTAACCATCTTCTGATCGTAAAGGTAATAGAACTTAGATAATTAATTGTTTATTCCTGCATGCTATGAAAATGTACTTTAGTGAATATGTAACTGAAAGTTACATAATTCCTGTTAGTTACTGTTTCTTCGGATTGACTTCACAGTGCTGTGATTTCTTCTGTTACATAAGCTGTGGGACTTGCACAAATCATCCATGGCAGGGGGCCCTGGAGAAGAGGTTTTGTGATAGGAAAGGAGAAAAAGAGATAAGTAATGAAGTGTGCTTCAGTGATAGGATGTTAACCCAGGTCAGTTGAGATGCTGCTTGTGTAGTCTAGTGTTGCCAAGAGGAAATCAAATCAGGAACAATAGATTAATATAAAATAGTCCCATAGAGTTTTACATGGCTATAAAACAAGGGTGCAATTCAGCTGGACACAAATGTATTTAATTTTGGTAGCAAACTCAGCTTACTATATCTGTGTCTTGATTTTACAGAGAAGTCTTCCCTACTTCATTTTTCTACGGTGATTCTGTGGAAGCGTCCAACTTTGTTCAGCTGGAAAACCAAGAATGCCTTTTTCAGTCTCTCAACTTCACGCTGCAGGTAAAACTGCTTATTTTGTCTGCTTTCCTGCTTGGCAGCACATTCTGGTTTTGTGTCTTTTTTCTTCTGGGTGTGGTATGGATTTTTGATCGTGACTTTGAATCACAGTCATGGGCAGAATGAAAGCTCTGGACAATGTTTATCAGGAAGATCCACCTATTGAGTCATGAGATTCTGAAAGAACTCCCTTACTTTCTAAACTCCTTCTCACAGAAGAGTCTAGGTGCAGCTGGATCCAATCCCAGTCCCAGACTTGGTCAACAGTTTATGTGTAAAGATTATATAGGTGTAATTCAACCTTTATATGACATTGTCCCACAGGATTAAGGACAAAAAACCAAATACATTTACATGAAAACCATAAGTTATTTATTTAAACTGATGATAATGATTAGACTAAAATACTTTAGTCAGAATTGTTTACCACATAATATAGTTTTACTAATACTATTGTGCACTATTTATTAAATTAATAATTTCTAAGCTATCTTAATAATTATTAAGTAGAGGTTGATGATACTCACCCATACCAAGAACCATGGTCAAATCTCTTGCACTCAGCCTCAAGGAGTAACTCTGAGGGACATCCCCACTCAAGGGAGGAGTCTCTACACTCTCTCCTTGAAGGGGTATGTTAGAAGTCCCTACTGTTAAAAAGCAGAACTGGGTTTTTATAGTATAAAGTGATTGACTGTTGGTCATATGTTTGTAGGCTAGCTGTGTCAGCTATGCAGCCTTTGACTGAGCAGCTTTAGACGAGTTATCAGTCCTATCACTTGTTGGTTCCTTTATCAGAAACTTTGTCTGCCACATCCTCACTGGTACCAGTTTCTGTCAGGAAACACTGTTTGAATGTTTACCTTTGGGACTGATGACTCAGGCTGGTCTCAGCATTCTTCAACACCCAAAGCAACACGATCCACCTTCTCCATCCACCACTGGTAACTTCTGCAAATAGGCTAAAGTTGGAGCTGTTTTACCCCCAACAAGACAGAGCACCCTGCTAAAATGCTGTGCAACGCATTCTTGATTGGATTCCGTATTTACGGTGTGCAGGGATGGCATTTGTCCTTTATCTGAATATATTATAACAAGAATTGCAAACAGGGCATCTCACTTCCATAAGAATGAAGCCACTACCATTTGTTTCTCTCTTACCTTTCATTACATGCTGAGTGAAGAGCTCTAGTTACTCAAGTGACACATCTTGGAGGAAGTCACAGGTTAAAAGTGGAGAAGTAATTCTTTTTAGTGGCATGGTCTTTGAGCAGAGGAGTGGGCAGCCTTTATCCATGAGAACAAACACATGCCTGTGCAAGGGATGTGTTGGGACTTGCTAAATGCCCGAGTACGAAAATGTTTGTAGCGCTGCTGACAAGAGTACAGTACAGGCAAGAGATGATGACACTGAAGAGACAGATGTGAGAAGTGTTAATTAAATATCTCACAGCATCTCAGCATTAGTCAATTATTATCTATATATTACACTGCCAGTTAGATGAGTTCCTCACATGGCAAAATATATGGGTGATTTATTATCACCACAAACTCGTGCAATGTGTCCAAAATTAACTTGTGCTCTGTTTCGCTGATGTGACTGTATCTATTACAAGCCCTTCAAACTCTTTTTGACCACTAGATGGAACTAGAAAGTGATAAGTCATGCAGAGGTAGGCTCATTTACTGAGAAAAATAGTGTTTCACCTTTTTTCTCCCTTTCTGTTCTCCTAGGCATGAATGCCACTCCACTCATAATGAATAACACATGTCTGCCTCCACGGACAGATTGCGGTCCAGAGCAATTAAGCCCCCACTGTCATGCAGTGCCCTTAGCTATTTACTGAGAAGGAGTGAAAGCAGGATTTTAGGACATTAAAGCTTTTGTGAACCAGGCTATTAATTCTTGTGATTCTGATTTCATTCTTGAGAATTTATAGGTTTACCCCATCTTTCTCCCCTATAACCAGTTATTCATTGAAACCAGATAAAAAACAGAGGCATTGGTTTTTTAATTAGATTAATATTTTCAATAAAACAAAGTGATAAAGGGTAAGGGAGAGAGAATCCATGAGACTTTCTCTCATGGCAGAGCCACTATTTGTCCTACCCATCCTCTTGTCTTTCATGCACACACTTAGAAGTTTTTTTCCATATAGAAGTAGAAAATTATACTGGAACAAGTCACAGATGTGCTCTCCCATACTGTGCTAAGCCTCATAACTATGTGTGCCAGTGAGACAGGGTAGACTTTCATAATGGGCAAATCATTGTTTATATCTCTCTTTGCTTAATTATCTTAAATTATTTGCCTGGCATTTATTTAACTTCTCCAGATGGAGAAGAGTAATAGTTTCTTAACCAAGAAAAAGAGATGATTTACAAATATAGGGGGCATTATAGCAGTTTTTATAAGTGAAAAGCTATACTGGGTTCAATGTTCATGGAAAAAGATCCATATATGTATTTTTTAGTAACAAGACATGCAATGAAAATGCCTTTTCTGCAGTACTGTTGTATCTGATCTCAGAGAGATAATAAAGGTTTTCAAAATGTCTCACATGAAACGTTATGTTTATATTTCATGTAGCATTTATCATGCTCCACTGTAGTGGGATTTCTCACCCTGCCTGGAGCCTCAGTGCTTTTGTGACAATTTGGCATTGCAAACCGATTCTCTTTATCAGTCAGACATTTTTTCAAATATAAACAGTGTTTGAGGAATGAAAACATATTGTTTTTAGTATTTGTACTTTGCACAGTTAACAACTGATTGCTGCATCTTTTGACAGTAGTGGATAAATATTCTAATGGGCCTAATGTTTTTACTCTATGCACTTATATTTGTGGGTTTTTAGTGTAAGCATTTATATTTGTTTTGTTAGAAACAGCCAGGAAATATTTTTCCTAATAAAAAAAAGTAGTTACAAATGAAAACTTATTTTCATTGAAATTTTTCCGTGAATTACTTCTTTTCAGCAAAAAAATCATAAATTTTGGGACTTTCACTAGATACGTTTCATTGGTGGACAGGAAATTCTTTGAGTTTCTGTTAAAATTTTGGGGGAAGGGGATTGATAGAAAGCTAATATTTTTCACCAGGAGTTTAATTTAATTGCAAACTCCAGAACTTGAATGGAAATTGTTCACATGCACTTCCTGGCAAGTCACTCAGAAAACCCGCAGTCCAGCAATCACAATAATTGTTTGGCTTCTGCTTCCTTAGGAAAACGTATGGAGAATATAATGCAGTGGTTACCAGATGGAAATGAGAATGTTAACTGAGATGGTAATATTTCTTACGGCCTTCCAGATTATAGTACCAACACACTCAGGGTACTAGCGATGTCTCTGTATATAAGGTAGAAATCTTATGCTGTTTGTATTGATGACTGGTAATTATCCTGCAAAACTGCTTCTTATTTCATATATGAACTGTGCCTGAAGAATGTTAAGTAAGCTAATCCTTTAACTTCTTTCTGACGCATACAAAAGAAGTCATCATCTGAAGACATTGAAAAACCTTCAAATTACTTGAGTTTCTTCAAATTTACCTGTACTTCCAGCTGTGGTTCTACAGTCATTTCCCATTAATGAGAAGTCACATATGTAATTTTATTTGTATTCGTTTGTTCTCTTACAGGTTTACAATGCTGGACCAAGCACTCTCCCTGGAGCTTTTCTTGACATTTCATTTCCAAACCGCCTCTCTGCCACTGGAGATGAAATATTTCATATTCAGCAGATGATGGTGAGTATGTTATCATGTGTTCTGGGACCAGAGAGGCACTGGGAGCTATTGATGACTGAAACAACAGAAATCCACCTGTTGGTGGATGAATCAGTTGCTTTTTAGGATAATGAAAGGTTATTTGTATTTGTGGCAACATCGTAAGTAGCTGAGCTCCTCCAGCTGTTGACTGCTCTCCCTCACCTAGGGCAGAGGACTGATTCTGTGTTCCTGGTTTCCAACAATGCTATATGAAACTAGGTCAGGCTAACACTGAAGGAAATATGAAGAATGCTTCCACGAGTCACATCTCCAAAGAGGCTTGAGTCTTAATTAGTCCTCCCTGCCCGAGGTAAATGGTGTATGTAATATCAGTAGGATATGTTACCAAACTGACTCATGTTCCCTGATTTTTCTCTGTGGCTTTTTGCAAGAATACTAGCTATGTCTGAATACCTTATCATTATCTATTTTTCTATAGTCCATGTTATAATTTGCTCTTTTTGAAGTGGTCTTTTAGCAAATATAAGTAATAGAGAAAGTTACTCTTTCAACACAGTGTTTTTCAAAAGACGATTTTGTGTCAGCTACAAAAAAATTCAACATAAACTGTGGTAAAGAAGACACATTCTTAGATTTAATTTCTAATATTTATTTATTAATTTCGAAGCCTTTGTTAGACCACTAAAATACCATCATTTATACTGTGGTGGCCAAGAGAGGGAAACCTTACTACTGAGGTAAATTTAGTACTGAAGTTCAGAGTAATCAGCCTTAGTGACAATTGAAGAGAAGTATACTTTCTTGTTGTTAACTACTTTTCTAGCCTTTTGGCTTAAAAGTATTACCATTCCTGATATGTACATAACAGTGTCACTGAATATGTGTAGACATAGATCCAAAAGATCTTTCTAAGCAGGTTTCCAAGATTTTTCCTGTTGAGATGTGTGAAATAAATATAGATATGTCTTACAGATGGGCACTTAAGACAGAATAACAGAGAAACAAATTGGAATATTGTATGCAGTACTAGTGTATAGACTGAGTCAATTCTCCAGCTAGACTGAATTAATTCTCCAGCTTATGCCTCCTTTTCAATGGCATTGCCTTTTAATGTTTTATTTAGTCCAGCCTTATATGCAGAAGATCACCTTTCCTTTGACGTACTGCCTGTAAAAAGATGGTGACCCATTTCCTTGGCCCTTTTCTGGTTCCTGTGTGCTGTGGGAGGGGGCGCATTCACAGCAGCAGCAGAGAGGTGGGAGTCTTCTTAACAGATTTTGTCTCCCTAAATGTTGGCACCTCCTCTAAAGTCAGTCATTCTGTACATTCCTACATAGCCAAGAGAAAAGAATAGAAACCAGCCCATCTTACTTAGGGTGTGATAAATTCCTTCTTGGCATTACTTGTTTCTCTGTTTTGGCTCTTCCAGAAGTCTGAGCAAATTGTCTTAGTCAAGGCACTTGTTTTGTACATTTCAGTCAGAGGAGCTGTACACTACCCACCAACAGGGCAAGGACTAGTTTCCACAATAGATGTCATTATTTCTGCACAAGTTATCTGAAAAGGATGGGATGGACTATATGGGTTTGGATAGCTATTAGAAAGCAAGGGAAAACCCTTGAATCTTGTGCTTAGCTTGTTTTTCATTGCCACTGTGCATCTGATGGCTTACCAAAAGGAGGTCCAGCTGGGTGGTGTGGTCTCGAGCACTATGCACGTATGTTTGCAAATGCTTGCAGTGTTTATATTGCTTTTCCCAACAACAGGTTGCATTTCCCTGCACGTTGCTGGACTGAATTGTACATTGTAGAATGTCTCTGTAGAGTTTTAAACAGCTGTTGTGAGACCTCTCTGCATTGCAGGCTGAAGAGTGATAGGAGGCCAGTATGTTTTTATGAGAGCTGTTTGCCTGCTGCGCTAGCATTCACTGGGTCCTTCTGATTACTGATTTTGGGTATGTGGTCAGTAGAAGTCTACTTCATGACTTTCTAAACATCTCTTACATGTTAATAAATATTAGCCAAGCAAATCCTGTCTGGGGTAGTGGTTATCCCTGCTTTACAAATACATAATTGAAACAGCAAATGGTTTGCCTGAGGTCACACAGGAAATTTGTGTCAGAGCCGGGCACTGAACTTATGTATCCTAAGTCTTACTGTTGTAACAGAGAAAGCTTCCCACTCCTTTTCCTACTGCCTCTCTCCCACTGAGTTTTTATTGACTGAAAAGGGAACTAAAATCATGGAGCTTTTCAACGTCTCATAGACCAAATGTAATTAAACAAACAAACCCTAAAAGCAGATGAACTTTGGAAAATGGTTTAGAACAGCTGTTTTTCAGGAGAATTTTTGTAAGCATAGTCATTAAATATTTCAAGCTTTTCTGTATTTTCAACTTCCCAGAATCTAGATTGCAGTAAAGGTAATAAGGTAATAAAATCCTTTAAGACAGTTCAAGTGTTTCTGTAATTATGCTTTTATGCCCATAATTCAGGCATTCTAGCTGTCAGTGTTGACAGAACTTTCAGAATAGCTCTCATTAATACAGAGGATTAGGAATTGTCATTTATCTGTAACTGACACTGTTGATACAGCATTTGTGATTTGATTACATAATGTTTTTTGTTTTAAAGCTAACAATTATGTTGCTGTTTCTCTGACATACAATAAGACAGTGAAATTTATGGGTGAAAATGCATAATAAACCCACTCGAGTTTGTGTCCCAAATACACATATACCACACAAAATAGTTCCAGGAACCAATTCCTTCATATTGGGTTGAGTGATCTAGTCTTTCAGGCACAAAAATTCTAAGAGAAAGAGAGTCACATATGGCCCACTGGAACGGGCTGTATCTCTGCGAGGTGTTAGTAGGAATTATTATCTTGCTGGCCTTAGAGGAAATAACAGCCCTCATGCTTCCTCTGTTCTGGATTTTTAGCTTTATTGCAGAAACTGTTTTAAAATTTTCATCCAGATAAATTTAGGTCACAGATTCAGAAATTTGGAGTTCTGCCTTAGAGATATTCAAATGTGGTTCAGGGGGTATTGGGAGTTTCTGCATCGCTTCTCCCAACAAAGCTCCAATATATAAAGGGAATGAGTCAATAGTAAAAACCAGAAGTAAGCAAGAAGATGGATAACTGAAAGAAAACTGGAAGAAAAAAGTACAAATGAAGTTCCTCCCTATTAGAAATTTTTAATGAAAAGGAAATTATGGAAATATTCAAGTAATTTTAACTAAAGAATTTTTCACCATTAACATTGGGTTTATATAGTAAGTACTCTAATTCTGCAGTGGTAAATTATATTTTGGAAGCAGATAAGACAAATTGATACTAGTTTGCTTTTATGTATGTTTGTATTTGCTTTCTTACAGAGGTGTCAAACCAGCTTAAAAACATAAATTAAATAACTCCGTTTGTTAGTAAAAGTCTTGTAATAGAATAGTATAGGTGATGACACAGAAGAGCTTCACCCCAGCCGAGAAGTTAGTCTTAACACAAATGTATGTTTTCCACTCTTCAAGCCATTGACTATCTATTCTTCCACAAAAGAAAACAGATCAGTGGTTTCCTTTGCTATCCAGCTCGTTTGGATGGCTAAGGGGACATGACTTGCCAAGGAGCTGCTTTCTGGGACCTCCAAGAAGATTTTCACAATGGGAGTTCCTACCAAAATAACCAGGGTATTTCCTGAAGCTGTTCATAAATTAGCAATGTGTCCAGGATTACTCTGGTGCTGGCTTTATGGAACTGGATCAGACTGTTGCCTTCCTGCTTTTTTTTTATTTGCACTGCATAGTTCTTGAGAGCAGTACTTCTGGGGGTTGCTGCTAAGTATGTGCAAATTGATTTCAGAACCAAGACCAGGCAAACGTTGTAAGATCACGCTTATTGAACCTGATTATTTAATTAAGCTGTATATAAAGTAAATCAGAAAGAACACCTAAAGGCATTGCAATCAGGTTAGCACAGATTTATGGCAAACATGCATTTGGTGTTTTCCTTTTGTCTGGAGGAGCAAAAGGCAGAGCTATGGTGTACTCCTCTAAGCTGATTTAAAACTTCAATATCTCCCCTTTGCTGTTTAAATCTTGCCTGTCTTCATGGCTGTGTAAGTTTACTTATTAGATCTGTGGGCTACTGGTTTTCCTTGCCATCACTGCTATTTTTATTTTAAATCTTTCAAGGGTTGTGTAAAAAGGGGTAATTTTAAAAATTATTTTCTGTTATTTCAGTGTCACTTGAATTTATTGCCAGAATCAACAAAACTGCTATGATTCAAGCATGTTTCATTATCTGTGAATATTAAACATTCTTGGCATATGGAGCAAGCAGTCAGATAACATACGTACATAACTTATTTGTCTACTGTTGAAAGTCTTGACCTTGTCTGGAATTTCTTGTCAGTACCCTTTTTTTCTCAGTGTGACATGTTAGATTAACCCTGCCTGTCAGTTTTTCTCTGTTCACCTAATAAAGGGTGAATCAGTGTCTTTGAATCAGAACATATGTATACATTTCCCCCCTAATACTAGGATGAATGTGCTATGGTAAACAACAAAGGCACACAAGTGCATCTGTTATTTATTTTTCAAGTTTGAAAACTTGAACCACTGCTTAGTTATTCATAGATAAATAAAACAGTTAAAAATATATAAGAAGGGGAAAATATGTAAAAACTCTTTGGCAAAAATTTCAAGAAGACCACAACCAAACTCCTTGTCCTTTGGCAACAGCATACCCTAGGGCTGAACAGAAAGGCATCCATTTCAGAGTTGAGCAATGTTAACAGTTTTGTGAAATGACTGGCCTGTGTTCAGGCCCTGAGCATGTTTCTTGCAAGTAAAATTGCTGTTCCAAATATCTTATGTCTCATGATGTTTTCCCTGAGCTTACTCATGCCCTTTTTCTGAGGTTGGGTATGGGTTTTGTCCTATCAAATACACTCACGTCTGAATTCCACCTTCTTGCTTGCTTTGTACCAGTTTAATTCTGCTGAATTCCAGGCTAATA